ATTTCTCTCACCAAAGCTCTCCAAAAGTCTGTATAAAGTCTCTCCTCCCTCTTGGACGTCTGTAGGCTCTTTTTATAAACCCTAGGCGGTGCCCCCGAAGTCCTACTCTCGTTCCAACTCTGAAAATACGAATCTGGGCTTTTTCTGGGTTTTGACTCGGACCGAGTCAGTACTCTGACTCGACCGAGTCAAGACGGGACTCTTAAAGAATTTGGCCCAGCCCATTCTTCTGACTCGGGGTGTCTGACTCGGGCCTTCTGACTCGGGGTGTCTGACTCGGGCCTTCTGACTCGGGGTGTCTGACTCGGGCCTTCTGACTCGGGCCGAGTCAAAGCGGGAAATTCTTGACTCTTTCATCCTTTTAGCTCCAGATTGCTCCCGTCTTGCTCCAAATCGCATCCGAGACCTGTAATCCTATGAAAACACAACCAAACCGAGTTTCGTAGCCTAACACGCCTATAATGCCTACAAATGAACATGATCCTCATATAAATCCTATAAAAACGTCCAGGAAATATAGAGAGAATTAGGAGTTATTACACATACGAAAAGAGAGACTTCCAAATCAAAGGAAATCAAAGTTGATGCTCGGGGGAGTTGGCCTTTTCAAAGTTCTTAAAAAAAATTAACAACAATGCTTACCCACTCAAGTTTTCGAGTAAGTTTCGTGTTAGTTCAACATTCTATGTTACTGATCTATCTCCTTTTGTTGCAGCTAAATCAGATTTGAGGACAACTCTTTCTCAAGAAGAGGAGAATGATGTGATATCAAAGGCAACCCATTCGAGATGGACTGGAAGCTTTCTTCGAGATAGACAAAGCGGGAGAATTCACCGAGACAATAGGATCGATGACGAGAGCACGAGCCAAGAAGTTACAAGTTGTGTCAAATTGCCATGTTCTTGAATGTTTGGGTCAAGAATACATGGAAAAGTGCACAGGCTTGGATCATCCACAAGTTCAGCCCATTATCCACTTGATTTCACTCTTGGAAGACTCATAAATCAAACCCAAAATTCCAGCCCAATATAGATGACAAAAATGGCATTAAATCTGGTCAAGAGGACTTTCCAACTTCCTTCTTGAAGACTACAAAGTCAATTATGACTTTTTGAAGGCTACAAATTCAAATCTCTTTGTTTGTGCTTATTTATGTTGATTTTGCTAACTTTCATGCATTGTTCTCTATAAATAGAGATCACAAATCAGATTTGTACAACAACTTTGAAATATATTTTTGAGAGGTTTCTCTTAGAGTTCTTTTAGAACTAATTTCTGAACTTATCGGATCTTCATCCGTGGCGTTCAAACTTGACTTATCAAGTGTTGATTTCGCACAACACTTGCGTCTTCGGTCATCCTATGTTTCTAAACCAGTTTCACTCGAGGTTTAAGACCGTTCGTCTCGAACGCTTGCTTAGGTTTCGTTTGCGAGTTGTTTAGGGTTTAGGGAACCCATCCACCGCCTATCGGAAAATCTATCGTTCCTCTTTTCGCACACTGTCGAAGAGAGAACAAGCACATCGGAGGAGAAAAGAAACAAATCGAAGGAAAGAGAGAGAGAGAGAGAGCAAATCTGAAGGGAGAACAAGCAAATCGAATGAGAGACGAAGCAAATCAGAGGAGAGAGAGGACAAATCTGAAGAGAAACGAAACAAATCAGAGGAAAAAATGAAGCAAATCGGAGAGAGTGAAAACTAGAGGAGAGAGAGCAAAATCGGGAGAATAAATCGGATGAGAGAGAAACACAGTTTCAGAAGAGAGAGAAAATTGAATATTTTTTATTTAATTTTATTTTTATTTAATTTTATTTTTTATTTAATAATAGAAGGGTAAAATAGATATTATACATTTAAGAGTTTATATTTGAAGTAAGAATTTTTTTTTTTGAGAGAATGGTAGTCATTGAAGTTCATATAGCATTTTAAGGGTATTTTTGATAAACCCCAAAGAAAACCGGGTATATTAACAGTTGTACGAAAAAGATACAGTGTGTATAAATGGGTGAACAGCTTTTAGGTTCCCCACTCTTGTACACAGAATAAAATTCAATATACAACCTTTACCAAAAAAAAAAAAATCCTCACAGTAATCATATATTTGGGGCGTATAAAATTATCGAATCTATAATTATTTAATCTGATCCAAATATCGCATGTGCCCAAAATTGACATTGTAATTCCAAACAAAAACGATGAGTTTGTGATTTTGATAGAACAGAAAAAATTAAAAACTTGTGTATAATTAATATGAAACTTAGGGCCCGACTGGTTGTACCGCAGCGGTTGCGGTTGCGGATAATAGCGTTTTCAGAGTGTTTGATAGCGATTGTAGGTGATTGGTACTGACTGGTTTGTAAATGACTGTTGGTGGCGATTGCGGTTGGTTGCGAGTAAGAGTGAATGGTTGTACACGGTTGCGGTTGCGTTTGGATATAAATTACCAAAAAGGACATGATTTTAAAATAATTTTTTAAATCAATTACAATTAATTTTATATTATCATTTGATAAAAAAATATTTTATATAATTTATAAATAATTATATAAAATATTTTAAAATATAAATTCTATCAATTTAATTTATATTTAATTAAAAAATAATTTTTGATAAAAATATCAAAAATAATTATTGATAAATTTAAAAATTTTATAATTATGTGATAATGAAATTTAGTAAAATATAATATCAAAAAATAAATTCAAATCATAATACTAAACAAGTCATCAATAATATATATATATATATATATACTAAACGAAGTCATCAACAATATATTTATATATAATATTTTGCATAAAACACGCTTCAATGTCAAAACTCAAATCCCAAACTGATATTTAGTTGTAAACTTTCATTCTCATGAAGACCCATGAACATAATAAATGTTTATAATGTGAAAGAAAAATTACATTTCACGAAACAACTATAATCATTAGAAATACACACAATTTTGTACAGATTTCTCAAGCATCAACAAAAAATGCACAAAGAAACGGTGAGAGAAACACTTGCATTTGACATCACACAGTTCTACAACCATAGTGTCCTTCAAAACTTAAAAGTCAAAGCAAAACCCACAAACATAAATCACACTTCTTGGCTACGTGCATTCAGGTACAGGAGAAACAAGGAATCAAATCCATAGGCATTGACTTAAGAAAAAATAGATCCATATTTTCAACCACGTAAAACACACTTCATGGCCAAAGTAGAATCTAAAACCCATTTCATACCAAAACAGAATCTAAAATCCATTCCGTAAATGCTACATCCAGGAAAGAATCCAAAACCCACAAAACCCATTTTGTGTAAAAGTATTATCTGTGAACTCGACAGAGATTTTCAAATGAAATGATAAATCCAAGTATTCAAAAGAAATCTGGAAAAAAAAAACAGAAGAGAAAAGGGGATAAACACAAAATAGAGACATAGACATACCAAGAGACGACGAAGATGCCGAAGTCCGGAAAACTCCGGCGAGCTCCGGCA